CTGCAACCTCCGCCTCCTGAGTTCAAGTGACTCTCCTGCCTCAGCCACCCAAGTAGCTGGGATTACAGGCACCCACCACTACACCTGGCTAATTTTTTTTTTTTTTTTTAGTAGATACAGGGTTTCACCATATTGGCCATACTAGCCTCAAGCCCCTGATCTCAAATGATCTGCCTGCCTCGGCCTCCCAAAGTGCTGGGATTATAGGCATAAGCCAACATGCGTGGCCCCATTTTTAAATTGGGTTATTTTCTTACTGTTGACTTTTAAGAGTTCCTTGTATATTTGGAATAATAGTCCTTTTTCAGATGTGTCTTTTGCATGTATATTCTCCCAGTCTGTTGCTAATCTCATTCTCTTAACATTATCTTTCACAGGACAGGGGTTTTTAATTTTAATGGAGTCCTGCTTACCGATGATCTCTTTAGTGGATTATGCCTTTAGGGTTATATCTAAAAAGTCATCACGATGTCCAAGGTTATCCGGATTTTCTCCTATGCTATCTTCTAGGAGTTTTATAGTTTTGTGTTTTACATTTAGGACTGTGATCTATTTTGAGTTAGTTTTTATAGGTGTAAGGTCTGTGTCTAGATTAAATGTTTCTGCATGTGGATGTCTAGTTCTTCCAACATCATTTGTTGAAGAGACTATCTTTTTACTGTATTGATTTTGCTCCTTTGTTAAAGATCAGTTGGTTATATTTATGTGGATTTCTGGGCTGTCTATTCTGTTCTATTGATCAATTTGTCCATTCTTTTTACCAATACTACCCCATCTTGATTACTATAGCTTTATAGCAAGTCCTGAAGTCAGGTAGTGTTAATCTTCCAGCTTGGTTTTTTTTCCTTAAATATTTTATTGGCTATTCTAGGTCTTTTGCCTCTCTCTATAAACATTAGAGTTAGTTTGTCTATACCCACGTTGTAGCATTTATTTATTTATTGACGAAGCTTTGCTCTTGTTGCCCAGGCTGGAGTGCAATGGTGCAATCTGGGCGTACCACAACTTCTGCCTCCTGGGTTCGAGCGATTCTCCTGCCTCAGCCTCACGAGTAGCTGGGATTACAGGCATGTGCCACTGCACCCAGCTAATTTTGTATTTTTAGTAGAGACAGGGTTTCTCCATGTTGGTCAGGCTGGCCTCAAACTCCAGACCTCAGGTGATTCACCTGCGTCAGCCTCCCAAAATGCTGGGATCACAGGCATGAGCCACTGCGCCCGGCCAATTGTAGCATTTTTATTAAGTGTTTATGTCTGGAGAAAACATGCAGTCTTCCATTGCCATATTCCTTTGTAAGTCTCATTTCTCAAGCCCAACTATAAGGTAGAATTCCTCTCCTTTTAAAAATGTCAATTTAATTTTTATGTTTTCCCTGATTTGTGCAATGATATAGGAACACCTGTGTTTCTTCCTCCCCCTGAGAATTGTTGGGAGCGTCCTCTGTTATTTTTCTGCTTCAGTGGACATGCCTGATATCCTTTATAGCATCTGGTTAATTTCTTGTGTCTGGGTGTACCTTCCCCCTCCCTCTTGGTTATCAGTTTCAAGCTCTCTTGATTCGATCAGTGGATTTAAAGGCAGATGGATTGATTTTGACTTCGCACTAAGGAAGGAACAGAGCCTAACAGAATCAGCCTGACATTTAGAGCTCCTCCTACCTGGTAGCACAAGGAACAGTCAACTGCGCTCAATAGTGGATGAAAGACCCAAGTGAGCCCTATGATTCATTCTCAAATTTCACAATCATCCTTAAGATGGTACATTTTAGGTCCTCATTCCTCATGGTCCCACTTCATTCCCTGTTCATAGGCCAGATGCCTTTTCAATTAACATGGGAAACAAATGTGAAAAAGAGCATTGAAATATTATTTTTCCTATTTCTATCCCTAAAGTGTTATATTTTCTGCTCTTGGTTTTAATGGCTAAGTGAATAAAGAACATGCTGTGAAATATTGTTTGAACTGAACAATGGCCCGTACAAAAGCCTCCTGACACATGTGTAGAAAGTCACAGTCTACAAAGGACTGGCTTCTTCTTTGCTCCCTGGCCATCAGGAGCAAGGTGGGTTGCTGCACTAAAAGGCATTGCAAGGAATCTCAACTGTAAGAAACTAAGTGGAAAAACATTTCCCATAGAAAATGCCCTCTTTTTAAAAAATTTGTCTTTTTAAATTTTTTTCTTTATTTAAAAAAAAATTTTCTTTTCTTTATTTTGTTTTTAAATTTTGTTTTCTTTATTTTCTCATTTGAGATGGAGTCTCATTCTGTTGCCCAGGCTGGAGTGCAGTGGCACGATCTCAGCTCACTGCAACCTCTGCCTCCTGGGTTCAACAATTCCTGCCTCAGCCTCCCGAGTAGCTGGGACTAGGGGTATCTGCCACCACACCTGGCTCGTTTTTGTATTTTTAGTAGAGATGGGGTTTCACCATGTTGGCCAGGATGGTCTCGAACTTTTGACCTCAGGTAATCCACCCACATGGGCTCCCAACATGTTGGGATTACAGGCATGAGACACCATACCCAGGTTTAAATTTTCTCTTCTCTTCTCTTCCTCTTGTTCTTCCTCTTCTCTTTTTTTGAGACCAAGTTTCACTCTGTTGCTGAGTGCAGTGGCATGATCTTGGCTCACTGCAACCTCTGCCTTCGGGTTCAAGCAATTCTGTGCCTCAGCCTCCTGAGTAGCTGGAGGTTGATAGACCATTTAGGCATGCACCACCACACCCAGCTAATTTTTGTATTTTTAGTACAGATAGGGTTTCACCATGTTGGCCAGGCTGGTCTCAAACTGCTGACCTCAGGTGATCTGCCTGCTTTGGCCTCCCAAAGTGCTGGGATTACAGGTGTGAGCCTCTGCACCTGGCCTAAATTTTATTTTCAAAGAACCTCTTCAGTCTGTTGCTTCCAAGATGATGTCTCTGACCACATGCTGCTCATGAGAAGTTATCTCTTCACAATTCTAGACTTTCTCCCAGACTAAGATCCTTAAGGTGGAAAATTTAAGTGAGATGATCCTTATAAAGTCCAAAGAAGTGATGGAACCTCTAGGGAGTTGTGGATGCCTGATGTTTAATGTGTAATGGCTTCTCACTTTCCAAATGCATTTTGATATGGGAATCTGTTAGGTTCAGTTAGCATAACCACCCAGAACATTCCTCAAGGTATTAGACTAGAGAATAACCTGGGATTATCCACAATAATTTCCTGTTTCTCAGAAGCAAAGGAGACAGAACACCTGGGAGCAACAACATTGAAAGGGTGAGTGGAGAAGTCCACAAAGGAGCATGACGAAAATGGCTGAACTCTAGGAGGAATCCGGGACAGAGGGCTGATATGGACTCCTCCCACATAGAACCACCCAGGCTCACTGCAACCTCCACCTCCTGGGTTCATTTTCACTGGTGACCCGGGTGAGAGTTGGTTTAATGGAGGGGCAGATGTCAGATTTTGGTGGGGTGAAGAGTGAATGATACCAGAGGCTGATCAGTGTTAACGTTTTGTTTTAGCATTGTATGCAAGGCACTAAAGCCAGGCAGCAGCCCCCTGCCCCCCGCCACCCCGCTAGCCTTGGTTGTTATCCTATATATTACTCATGGCAGCAATTTCCTGTTTTATTTTGATAGCCCAGATGCCTGCTGCACTTATCTTACTAAACAAACATATTCACAAACTGTCAGTGTACTTGGAGTATTGACGTTAATCCAAAGCTTGCATTGTTGTATGACGGCAGTCAGGGTTTGGGGAGCAGTCCAAAGGACTGGATCTTCCCACTCTGGGGTTCTCAGAGAGTTCTGCTTTGCTGACAACTATCAAACTACCCCACGGACTAGCTGAAGTGTTCTCTTTCATGTAACATTTCACATATGTGTTTTTGCCACTGAGTTACCCCAGAGAGCACACAGCAAGGGCTCTCAGACTTTAATGAGCATAAATAACACTTAAAAAATGCAGATTCATCTTTGATGTACATAGATGCAAATATTCTTGACAAAATACTAGCAAACAATTTGATAATACATGAACAATACACCCTAGGCCCTATTCCCAAAGATTCTGACAAGGCAGAAGGTCCAGAGCTGCTCATGAAAAAAAGAAAAAATCATTGACACAAAAGAAGTGGCCTTCACGTGTTTGTTTTGTTGTTGTTGTCGTTAGCTAGGGACCACAGAGGCTAAATGAGACTGTCTCTAAATCAGGGTCATTTTATAATTATAAAGAGATCAGTTCAGCAAGAGCACGTGACAACCGTAAATACATATGCACCCAACTGGAGCGCCCAGATATATGAAACAAATATGATGAGAGCCAAAAGAGAGGCAGACACCAGCACAGCAATAGGGACTTCACGCTCCACTGTCAGCGCTGGAAAGACCATCTACTCAGAAAACCAACAAAGAAAGATGGAACTCGATCCGCACTACAGACCAATTGAACCTGGTAGACATTTACGGAACATTTTTATCCAACAGCTGCAGAATACACGTTTTTCTCCTCAGCACAAGGAACCTTCTGGGGGGCAGACCATATAATGGGCCCCAAAACGAGTCGGAAATAATTTTTAAAAATTAAAATTATATCAAGTATCTTTTCTGACCACAATGGAATAAAAGTAGAAATCCATAACTAGAGGAACTTTGGAAACCATACAAATACATGGAAATTAAACATGCTTCTGAATGGCCATTGGTCAAGAAATGAAAAAGGTAATTTTAAAATTTTCTGAAACAAATGGAAATGGAAACACAACATACCCAAACCTGTGATACAGCAAAAACAATATAAAGAAGAACATCTAGAGCAATAAACACCTACACCAAAAATATAGAAAGCTTCAAATAAATAACCTAACTAGAAAAGCAAGAGCAAACCAAAGGCAAAATGACTAGAAAATTTTATGAACAGAGCAAAAATTAAAATGCTGAGACTAAAGGAAATTACAAAAGATCAATGAAAAAAATTTTTTTTAAATAGGTACACAAAGTTGTTGTTTGGACTCTTGTGAAGATGGCTTGTGCTGCCATGCAGTTCCCAGCCAACCAGGACAGGTTTATTTGTCTCTATCCTGCTTATTTAAATAATAAGACCACTGCAGAGGGAAAGCGAATCCCCATAAGTAAAGCTGTTGAAAATTCTACAGCTACAGAGATTCCAGATGTATGTTCAGCAGTTGGACTTAACATATTTCTTGAGAAAAATAAAATGTACCTTGGAGAATGGAATTGTGACGTCCAATACAGAGGCAGAGTCCGGGTCTAGCTCAAACAGGAAGATGGCAGCCTCTGCCTTACACAGTTTTCCCATCACATAAGTCTGTAATGCTGTATGCAGCAGAAATGATACCTAAACTAAAAACAAGGACACAAGGCCAGGAGCAGTGGCTCACGCCTGTAATCTCAGCACTTTGGGAGGCCAAGGCAGGCAGATCACAAGGTCAAGAGTTCAAGACCAGCCTGGTCAACATAGTGAAACCCCGTCTCTACTAAAAATAGAAGAAATGAGCCAGGTGTGGTGGTGGTGGTGTGTGCCTGTAATCCCTACTCAGGAGGCTGGGGCAGGAGGCTGGAGAATCCCGTGAACCCAGGAGGTGGAGGTTGCAGTGAGCCGAGATCAAGCCACTGCACTTCTAGTCTGGGCAGCAATGTGAGCCTCCGAGATTCTGTCTCAAAAAAAAAAAAAAAAAAACAGGAGGTGATGACCAAAGTCTTCAACAAGGACAAGGAAGTAAAAACGGGAAAGGAAAGAAAAAGAAGTAACCTAGTATCAGTGTCAGATATGTGGTACTACTGTAAGGCACATGAATGGAGGTTTCTAATTTATATTGAAGGAAAATGGAAGCTGTTTGTTTGCATCGTTTAACTGAACTGTGAAGCCTTGTGCCCTCTCATCGTTATCATTGGAGTTGCCAGTGAAAACTTTACATTGGAAGTTTGCATCTCACTTTTATGCAGTATTAAAGAATTTTTTAGTCTTTCAATGCAGTTTCTTTTGGGAAGAAAGAATATTTTTTAATTGACAATGGACTGTACAATAAGTTACTTGTTTCAGATAAATTTTAAATAGATTTGAAATAAACATTTTGTTCACCTTTTTAATGAAATAAAATTTGAAATTGAAAAAAAACAAGTAAACAAAACTGGCACACCTTTAGCCACACTAAGAAAAAAAGAGAGATGAGCCAGATAAAATTGTAGACAAAAGGAGACATTCCAACTGTTACCACAGGGATCCCGAGGATCATCACAAACTCTTAGGAGCAGCTATATGCCAATACACCGGAAAAACTAGAAGAAATGGATACAAGCTCTCAGCAAACTGCGCATAGAAAGAATATACCTCAACACGATAAGGGCCGTATTTGACAATCCCACAGCTAATATCATACTGGACAGGGAAAACTGAAAACCCTCCTTAAGATCTAGAACAAGGAGAGGATGTCCCCTTTCACCACTTTTAATCAACATAGTACTAGAAGTCTTAGCCAAAGGAATTAAACAAGAGAAAGAAATAAAGGACATCCAAATTAGAAAGGCAGATATCAAATTATGCTTGTTTCAGATGACAAGATATTATATTTAGAAAAACCTAAAGACTCCACCAAAAAAGCTATTAGAAGGGATAAATTCAATAAAATTGCAGGATACAAAATTAACATACAAAAATCAGTAGCATTTCTATATGCCAAGAGTGAACCATCTGTAAAAGAAACCAAGAAAGCAATTCCGTTTATAATAGCTACACATAAAATAAGAGAGCCAGACCCAGGAGACCGTACCTGTAATTCTAGCCACTCAGGAGGCTGAGGCAAAAGGATCTCTTGAGCCAGGAGTTCAATGTTGCAGATGCCTGAGGTCACCCCACTGCATTCCAGACTGGGTGACAGAGTGAGCTCCCCATCTCTAAAAAATAAATAAATAAATAATTATAATAATAAAATATCGAGGAATAAACTTAACCAAAGAAGTGAACGATCTCTACAATGAAAACTATAAAACACTGATGAAAGAAATTGAAGAGGACACCAAAAATGGAAAGGTTCCATGTTCGTGGATTGGAAGAAACAATATTGTTTAAAAGTAGCTCATCAAATTGCCAAGAGATGCAGTCTCAGAAAAGGGAGGAACAGAGGGAGGTTAAATTTTCAGAACCTTAAAAAAAAAAAAGGTCAGACTACTAACAGTCCTATGAATATACTGTGTCTACCTTGAGGTCACATGATTCTGGTGCTTTTATCAGTACCCGTGAACCCTGGACAGTGGATGCAGTCAGAGGCATGGCAGCCCCGGTGTCTCTGAAGATGAGATGTGGCTGCCTTGGCCATATTCTTTCTCTGCTTTTTCAGAGGCAAAAATTCCAGATAGGTCACATTTGATTGGCTGAGCCTTGGGAGATGCTTATGCCCTGATGAAAGGAAGGCTGAGAAGTAAAATATCTCAGATTTTCAGCTTTTATAATGGGAGGAAGTCTCTACCTCCCACTGATACTCATATGGTAGAGCAGAAGGAAGACATAGAAAACAGGTTCCAATAATGAGGCACATGGGGCTTGGTGCGGTGGCTCACGCCTGTAATCCCAGCACTTTGGGAGGCCGAGGCAGGCAGATCACCTGAGGTCAGGAGTTCGAGGCCAGCCTGCCCAACAAGGTGAAATCCTGTCTCTACTAAAAATGCAAAAATTAGCCGGGTGTGGTGGTGGGTGCCTGTAATCCTAGCTACTCAGGAGGCTGAGGCAGGAGAATTGCTTGAACCGGGAGGTGGAGGTTGCAGTGAGCAGAGATTGTGCCACTGCACTCCAGCTCGGGAGACAATGCAAGACTCTGTCTCAAAAAAAAAAAAAAAAAAAAAAAATAATAATAATAATAAAAGAAAAAGTAAAAGAAAAGGAAAGAAAAAAGAAAATAATGAGGCACATGGCACATACATACACATATGGGTTGTTCTTCCAAATAATGAAAGTATAATAAAAACATCATGAGATATTTGTGACTATTTTATGAAGGGTCATGGATAGGTATGAAAGGAGGATACCGCTTTCCATTTTATTGTCTTTTGACCTCTAGGTAGTCTAATTTTACTCATGTACCCAATTTCCTTTTCAGTGGCTTTCTTCCTCCAGCTAGAGAAACGATTAGCTGCAGAGGTCAGAGAACATGACTGAGTCTTTCTTTGTGTCCCTGAGGATAGCCCAGAACTTGGCCGATGGGCTTCAGGTTGCTAATCTAGGAAATGGAAGATACATTCATTCTATGCCGAATTCGTCTCGCTGGTTTTTGGTAGAAAAGAGGAAGTCCTGAGGATGGGGACGGACTCCAGGAAGTTTGCCTTACTTTGCCGGACATTCGGAGGGAATCGCACCATTCCATAGGGGGCTCAGAATAACTCCAGGGTAGTAAACCTCCAGGCCCTTTGCACATTGGCCTAGGGACCTGGGAACAAACTTGTAGCATAGAGAGGCTCCCAGGGCACAGAAGCCACATCACCTCCCTCCACTCTCTTCCAGGATTCCCCACCATTCAGGAACATCAAAGAAATGCTCTCGATTGCCGGACAGCAGGACATCTCAGGCTGTCTTCCTGTGCCCTCTGTGGCTACAAATGTAGGTCTGGTAGAAGAGCAGCCACTGGGCCACCTCCTGAGGATGACAGCCAAGTCCCTTCTCTTATGACCAGCATCCTCTGTAGTGAGTTCTTAGCAGCTTCCCACTCAGGCCTTTTTTCTTTTTTTGTGATGAAGTCTCACTCTCTTGCTCAGGCTGGAGTGCAGTGGCTTGATTTCGGCTCACTGCAACCTCCGCCTCCCTGGTTCAGGCGATACTCCTGCCTCAGCCTCCCAAGTAGCTGGGACTGTAGGCGCCCACCACCATGCCCAGCTAATTTTTGTATTTTTAGTAGAGACGGGGTTTCACCAGGTTGGCCAGGCTGGTGTCAAACTCCTGAACTTGTGATCTGCCCACCTCAGCCTCGCAAGGTGCTGGGATTACAGGCATGAGCCACCACACCAGCCCTAGGCCTGCTCTTGAGAGCAAAACAAAGTGGTTTGTTTCAAGCATGAGAATTCTTAGGTAGCAAAGATGCAACCACCCAGCCGGGCCCATGGAAGACTATGACTCTCCTCTCCTCTCCACGTACGAGGATTCCTTTGCTTAAAGCTCATAGGTACCATCTTTTGAAACTGTGCTTTCACCTATGAGAACAGATACCAGATCAATTCCATGCCAGAGCAATTCTAGTCTTAAAAATGTTTTATCTTCTTAACACTTTAAATTATTAATCGCCAAAGTCTACTCTCTGGCAATAATTTGAAACACACTTTTCCTGGGAGCCCTTTGCAGATCTTTGAAAGCAGCATGTGCAGAATCCTAGATGATTTCAGTACTGAGGGAACACAAGCCACATGCATCTGTGTGACTGTAGCACCCAGCTTCGTTCCTCCAGCAGAAACGTGGAGATTTCTAGATCCTGGGTTCCTGTGTCTTCCATGGCAGCTTCCGGACCCAGATCCTGCTCTCAGATATTCTTTGCTGTTCTTGTTCTTTCTGTCTCACAGCATGTCTGAGGTCTCTTGCTCTGCTTCCTAAGAAAGCCTGGCAGCCCTGGTTCCTAAGAAAACAAGCTCCTTCTATCTTGTTGAATAAGCAGCAAGAGGGCCCAAAAGATAAAATTCTTTAGCTTAGCCAGCCTCTGCCCCTTCTCTTTCTAGAAGAACTTCCTAAAACACTTAAGCCACACTGACCTAGGTGGCCTCCGGTCTTAGTCTATTTTAATAAAATTTTTATTACTTTTTTTTGAGACAGGGTCTCACTGTTGCCCAGGATGGAGTGTGGTGGCACAATCATAGTTCACTGCAGCCTCCAACTCCCTGGCTCAAGCAATTCTCCCACCTCAGCCTCCTAAGTAGCTGGGGCTACAGGTGTGCACTACCAGGCCTGGCTAATTTTACAATTTTGTTTTGTGGAGACAGAGTCTCCCTACTTTGCTTTAGGCTGTCTCAGTCCTGATAATTGATATGGGCACAGGGTGTTAAGTGTCAATGCACAGCTGCGACAACCCTGGGTAGATGAGCCTGGAGGTGGAAAGAGTGGGGGAGGGTCCAGGAGGCTTTCCCTGGTGTTTGCACCCATGACGTACAGTCTAGAGTCTGGGAGGAGGTGGGGGGTGGGGGTGGTGTCAGCTAGAGGCTTCAAAGCCTGGGACACTGTCCACATCTGTCCTGTGTGTAACTGGTCATTTATTCCTGACAGTTTGTTCACTTGCTCTTTATGTTCTCAGCATTTGCTAGGGCTGTGGGGATTGATCTGGAGTCAGCCCTATGAAAAGCCAAAGCAAAAAAACAAAAACAAAAAATCCTTGGGCACTGGCTCCACCCACCTAGGGATGCCTTTGGGTCCTCACAGGTCCTGTGGGGCTTCCCCAGGTTGCCTCTTCTGGGTCTCATACGTTGAGGACATAGCTCCTAACCAAAGCAGTTTATTGGAGCTTCTACAGCAATACTATACAATAGTAGACTATAAACAACAGAAACTCATTTCTCAGCCAGGTATGGTGGCTCATGCCTATAATCCCAGCACTTTGAAAGGCCAAGAGGCGAGGATCACTTGAGCTCTGGAGTTTAAGACCAGCCTGGGCAACATAGTAATATCCCCTCTTCACAAAAATAAAAAAATTAGCCGGGTGTGGTGGTGCACAGCTGTGGCCCTAGTTACTTGGGAGGCTGAGGTAAGAGGGTTGCTTGATCCAGGGAGGTCAAGGCTGCAGTGAGCCCTGATCACACCAGTGCACTCCAGCCTGGGTGACAGAGTGAGACCCTGTCAGAAAAGAAGAGAGAGAATAAAAGAAAAAGATTGATTGCTCACAGTTCTAGAGGCGATGATGTCCAAGATCAAGGCGCCAGCAGGCCCGGCATCAGGTGAGGTGTCTTCCTGATTGATAGACGACCACCCTCTCCCTGTGTCCTCACAGGGTGGAAGGGGCTGGGGAAGCTCTCTGGAGTTCCTTTTACAATGGCACTAATCCCATCCCT